TTTGAATGCGCGATATTTAACAGTTGTGACCCCATGAAAATGGTTTTGCAGTTCATAACATTCGGGTTTGCATGCACTCCGTTGTACTTCGTGTGGGAGAAGGTGATCGGTATGCACAACATCAAAAGCATATGTTTGAGGACACTGGCGAGGCTTCCGGTGGTGATCCCCATTTGGTTCCTTGCCATCATCTTCCCATTCTTCGGCCCTATAAACTCCGCCGTCGGTGCTCTTTTGGTTAGCTTCACCGTCTACATCATCCCGGCTTTAGCCCATATGCTCACCTACAGAAAAGCCTCGGCTCGACAGGTAAAAATAATCAAACCACCATTACTAATCGCAGTGGTGGATCGACAACTTCGAATTTATTTTATTAATTAACTATTTTATTGGTACTCAACTTAAAATTTTATTTTAAATGACGGTATATAATTATTATATTTTATTGATATATGCACGTCAAAAATATTTCTAAATCTGTTTTATTAATTGGTAGGACCATTAACTTGTGTCCCACCAGCCTGTGATCACTTTATTATGGTTCAAGTTGTGGTTATATTTCTTTGTTGGGGGTAAGTTGGTCTTTTTCAGGAATGAAAGTGGTCACAGTAATTGAACAAAAGTAAATGTACAAAAGCAATTAAGGTTTGGATTTGGAAACATTACGAGAAGAATTGGATATTTGGGCTGTCGTTTTCATTTAGTTACTTGCTACAGAACAGTTTCAGCGTTGTACACTGTCTTTCAATGTACATGAGCTGGCTGGCTGACTGGACTCTTTATCTTCCATCTGAGTCTGATTTAGTAATCTACAACTCAAGTTCGAATCTTATAAATATCGAATAACTTTTGTGTTTATGTTTTCCGATGAGCAGAATGCAGCAGAAAAGCCTCCCTTCTTCATGCCGAGCTGGACTGCAATGTATGCATTCAATGCCTTCGTTGTGGTGTGGGTTCTAGTGGTCGGGTTCGGATTCGGTGGATGGGCTAGCATGACCAACTTCATCAACCAAATCGATTCATTCGGCTTGTTCGCCAAGTGCTATCAGTGCAAGCCTCCACCACCAGTCGGAGCTGCCGCACACCATCAATGAAATGACTCGATTCAAACTCGACCCTAAACATAAAATCAACAAACAAAACCAATATATGTGTGTGATGATTTCCCTCCATATCTTGTATCATATACATGGGGAAGATATCAATGTCTCCCCTACATGTGATGTGTGCCGGATTTTGCCTCTATTTTCTTCTCTCTCCCCTATTAAATTAATAAATTAAAAGAGTGGTGTGTTGAATTGTGATGATTCCTTTGCAATCAAAGCATAGGCCTAATTAAATCTCTTTTTCATTGAGATGATATATACAATTTTCGCTGTTACTTTTATATAAAAAATAAGTTATTTTATGCAATGCCAATTATTACCATTATCATGAAGATATAATAAAGAAAGCAAAGGGTATGGGCGTGTAGTGTTTTTATTTAATTTAATGAGAGAAATGGCTTTGATTTGCATTTCGACCCTCTTGACATTAGATTCAGTGGAGGAGAGAGGGCCATGAGTCCATCCCACTTGCACATGGCTTCCACGTTGTCTTATCCCTTTCTCACGTGCCATTCTTTACTCCTAAATATTCCTTCCATTTACTTCTTTTTATACCATACCCAAATGATCCATAACTGCAAACTTCTGATCAATAAAAATTACGTATTAATCGGCATAGTTGGTTCAAGGGGTAAGCAGTTTAATATCGTTTAAGTAAGTTCTCGAATTACAGTTCTTTTTTGTACAAAAATTCTTGCTGAGAGACTCATCAACCAAAACTATATATGTAAAGCGAGTTGATCCGAATTAATCAAGCCGAATCCTTAGAACTAAGAGGGACAACCAAAAATAAAAAATGAAAAATACGTATTCATTGTCTTACAAGTTATTTGAGCATTAATAATATCAATCAAATTACAAATAACAAGTTGTTATAAGGAAATAAGACGTTAGATTTTTTTTAAATAATATTATGAGTTTAAATTCTGATTTTTGGAAATAGAGTAAACTGGTTAAGAGGATTGCTCCCATAATGAGTCTCTAAAAAATCCGATATTGATTAATATATCAATAAATCAGATACCAATGATCAATTCAAAAAAATAATATCAACTAAATTAAAATTTAATTAATAATTAAATATATTTATAATTATTTAATTAAATAGAAAATTTAAACATATCAAAGGAATCAAAATTATGATTTATTTAACTTTGGGTTCATTGAAAGATTAATTTTTTTGTTATATAGATCAACGGATTAAGACTTAAAAATAAACCCTAAAATTTATATGCTTTTAGTTATATTATTAAGTTTGATTCCTAATCAAACACCTACAATTAATAATTATAATAAACTGATTAATCATTTTTTACCTCTCGGTTTTCCAAGCTTTGTCCTGATCTATCTGGATCGATTCGTTTCGTACACCTAACTTTGACGAACGAATCTCGCAACAAAGATTTTCTGTATACATAAAATTTAGAACCGAAGACATGCTTAAAAATTAATATTTTTTATGCAACTAATTAATCATTTCCATCTTTCTTGTGGTTATTTGAACCAAGTCATGAACCCACAAGGTTTGGTATTTCTTAGCCCCTCTCTCTCTTTTCTTCATGATTAGGTAAACAAATAATTGACAAATTTCATTGAGGAGAGATTCGGTTTAGTTTTAGATCTTCTTGGCATTGACCAAATCTTAGACCATACTTACTTTTCAATTGTTTGTTTGATGCCAATGAAGCAGGAATGTCTAAGGAATAATATTTTAATTTAAGGTTAAGGAAAAACGCAACCGAAAATAATAAAAAGTTAACATTTTAGGTTGCGTTCATTAATGTTTTAAGTTGCGCTCAATCAAAAATGTTAAGTTTTTTTTAACATTTACGATTGTGTCTTTCCTTAACCTTAAATTAAGTACGTCGTACAACAGAATTACCCCCAAGAAAACTGTCACAATATAAAATCGAGTCATTGATTATGTATCAGTCTTGTCTTGAGTTATTCTAATCAAAGTTATATTCTATTTATGTTTTATAATAATGAATTATATATTGGTTTTATTTTTGAATTTATTGAGTATCCAAAGTGATAAAATAAAATATTATTCTCTTTAGAAGATACCGATTCAAATAGTTATGTCTGTAAAAGTGTACGTGTTATTGTTAACTATATTTTTAAAAATAACGTGTATTCGATGATAGTTTGAAAATTTGGGGGTATTATTCCAATGTCATAAAGTTGATTTTGATTGCAAAAGATCTTAGGATCCTATCTTGATTTTGATATATATCTAATTTTACTTGCTACTTTATGTATATCACTTTTGAAGATGATGGAATGAAGTAAGTCATATAATTCACTTATCTTATGCCCTACATATACATAGACAACATGATGATAATCTGAAACAAATAAGTTCAGTTTATTAAAGGAATTGTGTTGCAAGCAGATTCCTGTTGGGCTGTTGCAGATTCATTGGGCCATTATAATTTTTTGATTAAGTTTGTCTTAGCTAAAAATATTCAGGTCTTTTCTTATGGGCCGGATATTTCTTTTGGATTTATTATTTTTTATATTTGTTTTTTAAACCCAAATATATCGTATGTGATAATTATCTTTAAATAAATATTATCTTATACTTATCTTAGTTTAATCGAGATGAAAGACTTGCATGTATATAATAGTGACCGTGTATATATATCATATTTGATTTAACTTTCTTACTGTTATCGGCTTCTTAGTTTTAACACCAAGTTATCAGAAGATTCCCATGCACTGCATAATTTTGAATATGTAGTAACACATGCAATTAGGGATGGGCTCAAAGATGGCGAGTGGGACAATCGTTCTTCTGAAAGTTTCAAATTCTCATATATTTTAGATATATTTTGTGTATTTTATATTAATAATTTATTTTCGTTTCTTAAAATTTTTATATGCCTGTCCCTCCTAAAATCTTATAAATTCATCCCATAGATATGAAAATTTCTGTTTGTACCTACACAGTCTTGTTACTGCTGTATCCATGCTAAAAATAAAATAAACAGGAGGATAATGGGGATAAAATTTGAACTATAAGTCCCTTAAAAAAAGAAAGAACAGCGCCACATATTTCCAAAAAGACTGATATTAAGTTCTAATCAGGATTTAAATCACGGTCGCGATCACATTTTCAATTATATCATATTTATCACGATTGAGGTCATAACGGGCGTTATTACGATCATAACGAGTATATCAAAAGACAACACTACCATTATTTCGTAGGTGTTATCACGGTTACGAATCGTTATTTAAAACCCTAACTCTAATATACACTAAAAAGAACTCGATTTTTTTTTTGTTGAGAAATTTTCTTCAACAATTACAAATGAAATGGGTAAAATATGATTTTATTAAAAGTCCTCTTTAAAGAGGATGGGTCAAAATTGCTGTTCAGTATGTCCAAATGATACCGGGTCAGCAGATATAATACGTCACATCAACATTTTGTAATATTATCTCAATAATGACTAATCAATATATTATACATCAATAGATATGAGGACCAAATCATTACTTTTGAAATATTAGTAGAAAAAAGAAAATTATTTAAACTCCAGTGACCTTATTACTAATTTGTTTTAGCATGGTACAGCTCAACGCAGCACCGAACCATGCAAAAAGACGATTCACATCTCGGTACGCAATCGAATGAAACATTCGAGGTAGTCGCCCGTAGGGACACAACTCAAGCAAAAGGTGACGCTCCACCGAATCACAAAAAATATATTCACACACCTTCAGCTCCAGAGTAATTAAATACGTGGCAGCACTCTATTCATTCAAATGTAAAACTAAACCATTCATTAATTGCCACCTGGCAACTCATCATAACTAGAATGCAAAGTACCAAAATCCATCTGAGATTCTCTTCGTTGATCTGATTCGATTTTAATTTTAAAAGCGACCACAAAAAAGCGAATACAGAGAGACACTGATTTACTGAAACTGCGGCTACCGATTTGGGGTCGGGAAGGGAGAAAAAAGGGCCTCAATACGATGTCGTCTCGTCCTTTCGACGACGATGGCTACCTAGGCTACGATCCTCGCCTTGCTTCCCGGCGATTCGATTCTTACTCTAACTTCGACGCCGACTCAGTTCCCGATTCCCCTCTTGTGTTCAACAATCAGTCGTACGGTACCGGAGATGACGTGCTCGGATCACAACCGATGCCGGATACACATCCTTCTGTACCGATCTATGGTAGCGATGGAGGATACTCTGCTCTTTTTCCGGAACAGAACGGGAAAGGATTAGATGGAGAGTTTGGAGGATCGGATCGGCCGATCTTGCCTCCGCTGGAAGAGATGGAGGCGGAGGAAGGGGCTGCGTTGATAGAGTGGCGGAGGTAAGCATAGGACTAGGAGTTACTTGGTTTAACTTTTCATTTATATTGATTGACAATGACACTCATTGATTAATCAAATACCGAGCCGAACTTTCTATAAACTATTCAGAATTTGGAAGGAAATTATTATTTTATGTAAAAATGTTAAAATATTAGCATTAATAGAAAAAGAAGTTGGTGAAGTATAAGGAAGTTAACTTGTGATGATCTAGCGGAAACTAAATCCATGGTTTCACAGGCAGAACGCGATCCGGCTAGAGGAGAAGCAGAAGAAGGAGAAGGAGATGTTGGAGCAAATAATAAAGGAGGCTGAGGAATACAAAGTTGAATTCTATAAGAAGAGAGTTACAGCTGCTGAAAAGAACAAAGCCTGCAACAGGGAGGAGGAGAAGGTGATAGATCAATCACAAATTCACAACTGCTTACACCACTTCTGTTTTCTGCTACTGAAATCTATATATTTTCTTCCCATCACTTCAATTTTGTGAATATTTGGTGTTTTAATCCAAGTTGAAGAAAAAATTATGTTCTTCAAACTGTCAATTTAGTGAATTGATGGTTATACACTAGGATATATGAGAAGCTTAGTCATTTACTTAATTTTTTTTTAATTAAGATTTAGTATCTTAATTAATTTGCGTGCCTATGTAGGGGAAAATCCATATGGGTTTACAGTAAGGAATTAATCAGCTTGATTTATCGTGTTGTTAGCGTGGATGGACAGAGGGAGGCTGGTGGAGGTGGTCGACTCCTGAAAATTTCAAAATTTCATATAATTTAAGTATTTATTTTGTATTTTCTATTGATAATATGTTTTCACCGCTTTAAAATTTTATAAGTTCGTCTTCTAGCATAAAATCATACGTCTATCCCTGGTTGTTAGTGTGTTTGCATGTTCCCTAAATCGACATGAAATTATGATGTGTCTACTTGTTCTAAATGGCAATGTTTGTGAAGTTAGTTTAGCATTGACTGCGTTGGAATGTTATTTATTCTTCTTGGTAGTTGACTTGTCATACTCTATTGGGTTGAAGTAGGTGGCCATGCATAAGTTCTTGGTGCTAAACAAATGATATGCATAATTGCTATTTAGTTAAACTCTGAAATAAAAGGTGCATGATCATGGTTATGGCTGTTAATGTAGTGGGACAGCAAGCAAATTAATTGTGTTTACACTGTATTTTGGATCATCTATGACAGAATCTTTTGGAAAACATGGAGAAGTTCCATGCCGAAGCTGCGAAAAACTACTGGAAGGCAATTGCGGAACTCGTCCCCAATGAGGTGCCAACCATAGAGAAGAGGGGAAAGAAGGATAAAGAAAAGAAACCATCTATTGTCGTGATCCAGGGACCTAAACCCGGGAAGCCGACCGATCTCTCTAGGATGAGACAGATACTTGTGAAGCTAAAGCACAATCCCCCACCCCATATGAAGCCCAAACTGCCACCACCAGCAGAAGCCAAGGAAGATGCTAAAATCGCTTCTGCCTCTAGTACCTCAGGTGCCGCTGCCGGTCCAAGTGTTCCTCCCCCTAAGACGCGACCGTAACTACTCCAGAGGCTGTTGCTGCTGCTTAAGAACTGGTCCTGGAGGATCCATTTGAAAAGTAAGTTGTGTGATTATAATAGGTTTAGTTTGTATAACCCTTTGCTTTATGTTTTAAGGTTCTTATGGGCATCTGAAATCTAGCAGTCTTGCGTAGAAATTTTATGTGCACCTCACCAATTTTGGTTGTGGGTTTTTCTGTGTGGTATGCCTTTACGAACCGAACTTTTGTGCTCTTTGGGCTTATATATATACATATTTATATTGTGTAATTTATCCTGATCTTATCAGACATTTATTCTGAGTTTTGACTTGAGCTACTGTTCTTTAGGAACTTCTAGCTTTAGGTAAATGCAACTTTTTGGTATTGACGTACAATTTGATACCAATTTTTTAATGATGCAATTACGTACTTAATTGTTTTTAGTAGAATAACTAATGGCGTAATTAGTTATTTAATATTTTTTTTTTGTAATTAGATGTCTGGCTGTTATTTTTAATTAGGATTTCAAGAGTTATATCTAAACTTACAAAAAGTTCAATTCAATCCCAACTTTTAGATTATAAAAAAGTAATTAACCTGATCGATCTAATCCAAGATTTTAGACTACACGCCCCATAGTAAATAATTGTACTCAATGAATAGTAAATAATTACCTAAAAATATTAACTTGAATAATTTATTTCAAGATAATATAAAATTATAAAAATATTATTATAAAAATATTTATTAATGGGTAGAGTATACAAATAGTCCTCGACTAGGGTGTTATTTTGTTGAATCCATCAACTATTAAAACTTACAAAATGGTCTCTCGACTATATGGTATTGTTTTGTTAAATTTCCCAATTTTAAAAGTAATAAAATGATCATCTAACTATTCATATATTTCAAATCCATCATTTTCTAATAAAAATTTTGACGACCATCTAAATTAAACGTTAACATTCTAATAGTTATATGATAAAATTATATTTTAATGATATTTATTGGTGTCATCGTTGCCTTCAAACACCGATTCAACGATATAATATTTAAACACCAACTCAATGACATAATATAAATAGAGATCTGATTCACAAAATATAACTGAAATAATTTTAGGATCGGATTTTATCATATCTCAATCAAAGTGTTTATATCCAGCTCAGATGATCATTAAATTTTTAACGAAAAAGAACGAGTTTAAAATATATAAAAAATTAGATGACCATTTTATAATTTTTAATAGTTGAAAGACTCAATTAAACAATACTCCATAGTTGAAAGACCACTTGTATACTTAAACCAGTTTTAATCATCTATATTCACAACTTTTTAAAGATTAAATTGATAAAAACTACAAATATAAAAGACTATATTTGTACCGAATCCCTCACATGTGTTTTCCCATGCAATTTTAGACCCCATCAAAACAGATTCATAATTCAACTCGTCGATTTCATATTCATATACAAGTTTAAGAACATTGAAACATCTCATTTAGTAAAGGATGGACCGAAGGTGCTGAATTACGGTTATACCCTTAAATTATTTAAATTTTCAAGCATTGATCGTGAGGTGCTGAAATACGATTATACCCTTAAAATTTTTAAATTATCGTATAATTTAAAATTCTTTTTATATTTTAATCTAATTTTGTACCTTCAAAATTTTTAATATAACTTTATAAGTTTATTCATTTTGTATTAAATTCTTCGTGTCCGTCTCTGCATTTAACCAAAAAAATTAGTAAAATCTTACCTCTCAAGAATGAATTTTCCCTCTCTGTACTTCTGTGTCTTCTCACGTGAAGCTTCCTTGAATCACACACACACACGCAGAGTTAGGAAAAGGGTACCATGAAATTAACTCTTGCATCTAAGCCTTGAAAGAAATCAAACCAGAAACAAACTCGGTTGAGAAAAACAGTTCTTACATATTTCCATCCCACAATTGAGCCTCACTCAACACAAATATATCGACGACGGTATGCATTCCGGTTATCATAATGCGCTCTTCTTTCTCTCCTACTGTGGTATTCACACTGCTATGCATTCCACGATTCATATCTGCAGGATGCATATGATATCAGTATTGTAGCATGTCCCAAAGAGTCCAAGACTCTCAATTCCAACACAGGCATCTTGCATTTGCCTATTCCACGGTTATTCTTGCAGCAATTAGTCAATTAGCATACTAAGTATACTTCACTTGTAATCTAGAGGCTAGACAAACTATACGCAGAATGTTGCAAAACTATAGAAATAGGATGACCGATTCATCGATTTTTGGCTGCCTGTTTTCCGGTGGGTTGTCAAGAATTGCGGGTGGCTGACTTCCCATTTGTTTCATTCTTAGTAAGCAAATAAGATATATGATACCACAGCCAACACCTCACAAAGGCATAGATTTCATTGATGACAGCAAAGAGAGCATACATATAGTAATACAGTTATATGACAATTGAACAATCTAAGCAGACTAATTGGATTTACAGAGTACATAACAATGAAACACTTGCACCTTATCAAAGAGATAGGCCTTTCCATGTCTGCAGTGGAAAGACTGAAACACAGGTAAAGGATGAGATTAGCACGCATCTGTTGTTCAACAAACGAAAAAGACAACAAAAATCATGGCTGACAAAATCCATTAAGCAACTAATTCATCCTTGATATAAGATCTTGCATTCGTCCCTGAACACTAGAGTATATTAGATAGCATCTGCTATAAAATCAATATCAATAGTATTAAACATGCAATTTTCTTATTCTACTTCTTCCTTTTGTCTCAAATTCCTTCATATTTACAATATCAAGCAACAGCTCAGCCATAAAACTGAATAACCCCCAATTCAATTCCATAGTTTCATCCATATGTGCAAAACAAAAATCAAGAATAATGCAAAAAGCATGAAGCGTTATTGTTCTGCCATTTCCATTATTTTTGGCCAATTCATCAGAGATTTTGTTAACTTCGATAATCACAACAAAAGTTCACCAAGAAACCCAGGAAAAAAGCAATCCAATGGAGAAACTGATGTGTTGACAAAGCAAAACAATGATGCATATGAAGACAAATCAAAGGATTCTGTTGGCAGCATACTTGAGAAACAATGATAATAATAATAAAGAACCTTAGAAATAAGGTCATCAAAGAGAGCAAGATGGGTACGGCAATGTTTGCAGCTATAAACGTTCCCTTCAAGGGTGATCACAAATAGCCTTCCCATTCTTTCTTTTCACATGACCGATCTATAAAACCTTCAAAAACAGCAAAAAGAAATAACATAAATGTAGAACCACATGGATTGAGGATAAACAAACCATAGGTGAAGGAAACGCAAGTGTTTAAATAATGGTCCGTTATTAGAACAACGATAAATATAACGTTACCGATAACACGACCATAACCGACATCAACATTTAAATCTGTGAAGAAAAGTAATTGCAGTTAGAACAGCAAAAGTATCGAAATCCTCCGAGTTAATTACACTACATGTCCTCTAACTGTAACTCTTATTTTGAAGAGATCTTTAAACTTTTTGAATATTCTTTCATTCTTAAACTATGGCTCATTCTAAATTGATCCCCAAACTCCCAAATTTTCTAATTTCATCCCCAAAATGGAATTGGAAAATTCAAAACTTTGGACACCAATTTAAAATGGGGATCTTTGAGAATGAATTTAAAATGTTCAAAGTTCAAAAATCATATTATACCAATTTAGAATAAGATTCATAATTAAAGGATGAAATTAGAATATTTTAAAGTTTAATCTTCAAATAAAATAATTAAAAGTAAATATGTAAGAAATGAGTATGAGACATAGCATTGATACAATGTTATACAAAGAAGATTGTCCTGTTCTAACGCTGGATCATATTAAAAGATTATTTTAATCCCAAAGAATACACGAGCAATGATGAACAATCAAATGAGTACAACCACATAACAAAACCATACCTTAATTGCAAACAACAGCTTCTAAACTTACTAAACAAACAATTGAGTTTTATCTACAATTATTTACACTTTAATGCAAATAATACATGCTTAACGTTGCTGCTGTGGATCATAAACAATCTTTGGATCTGGGACAATGAGTGGCAACTTCTCTATATACATGAACAGGCGTTTCATGTTCTCCCTCGAGATCGAACATAGATCGGTAATGTCGTTTTTGCTTGTGTATATCCAAAGATCACCTGAATCCACTCTTTTCAGGCTGTCCCGGCAGAATGGGCATGACTGCGATTTTATTCGCCTTAAAACACCATGAAAGCACAAGTATTACCCTAATGCAGAGCTATTTGACAAGAGCTTGAGAATTGAGATCCTATGTTCTTCATCGTATGTTTAGATATATGTCTTTGATGTATACTTGATAACATTAAGGAAAGGAAACAGAAAGCACACTAAGACAGCTTACCAAGTTCGATAGCATTTCATGCACATCGAATGGTTGCAATTGGGCAACACGATCTTGCTGTGCATCTCCATGCAAATCCCACATTCTTCTTCTCTCTCAAAATCGATTTCGGAGAGCTTTCCTTTATTCATTTTGTCCCTTTTCTTGAACTTTGAAGCGCAAATTTCCTTCTGTTTCCTCTCATCCACATCCGTAATTCCCCTTTGAAGTTGCAATAATGAAGGAAAGATCACCCCTGTCATGATAATCCAAAGAGCAAACAACCCAAGTAAGATATATACGAATCAAACTCATGTGCGATAACATCGAATCCTCTTACACACCATAGAATTCTCTTATGCTAGCTTTTCTTTCATGGATAGACATGGTGGTCTTTCCATCAGTGTATGCCTATAGAGGGAAAAAAGCATTACAAGTTAATGTCCTTGAAATGCTATCGCTTAATACTTCACCGGAACGTAAACGGATTTATTACTCAAGCACTTGCAAATTACCTTGTACATAAGAATTCTGAGCAATCCCAAGGCACCAGCAAGATGAGAATCAGTCCATTGGACGAGAAAAAGGAAGAAATGAGCAGCCGGACTGTAAGATAATCGCATCTGAAGGCAAGCACCATCATATTCTCTTGGATAATCAGAAGCCCTAATCATTCAAAAAAAATATGCACATCAGAGAAAACAGAAGATGAAAGCGGTTGCATTCAACAAGAACATAATAGTATAATGTAGTCCCCCCATCTATTTATCAATGCTGACATAACTTCATTTTTTTTTCAATGTACCTATCTCTGACACTTGTCTTTAACACCTGTTTAAGACTTAGATATGAGGATATGACCTCCACCAGGGATGGACTGACGGGACGAGGTGTTGGCTCGGTCGAACACATGAAATTTTCAAATATCTATATAATTTAGGTGTTTCTTTTGTGTTTTATTTTGATAATCTAATTTTAAACCCACTGAAATTTTGTAAGTTGATACTTCCTAAATTTCTAATATACTTGTTTAAGATTTGCACTCCTGACGTAAAATCCTACATCCAACCTTTGCCTCGACCAGATACATGAAAAAGCTTATAAAAACCATTCTCATATCAGATATATACCCATATCGGACACTTGAACCAAATCCTGTTTTACATCATCCCTACTCTGTTCTTCCCTTTTCTGGCAAGGGATGCCACTGATTCAGCTTGACGATGAATAAGAACAACTACTTACTTTTAATTATTGTAGGAGCCTTCAGTAATAAAAAATACAAAACCACTTAATTAAGCAACGAATACAAAATAAAACAGCAAAACTCACCAATAACAATTCCAGTTAAGCAAAAATAATCAATATAGAGCCATGGCTATAATGAAAGCCATCAATCTGAAAACTTAAAGCCCCCCATAGTAATGAAAATGTAAACTAATCAAATTACAAGCAAATCTCCAGAATTAAAGACCCAAACAAGTTTTAGTGCAACACCAGAAAAAAAAAGTATCTAACTATATATATCATTTTTAAATATCAAAGAAGAGAGAAAAAACAATTACAGGGTATTGGCGAACTGAATATCAGCTTCAAGAGCCTTGAGAGAATCCTTGAACGATTTCCTCATTTCCTCGTCTCTGTTTTCTTTCTTTCTTTTGCTAAAAACTCTGTAACTGATTCAATCCTCAAAATTCAAAACCTCAGCAACCCATTTACCTCAAACAACTATTCAACACATCACCATAATCAATTTTACAATTTAGAAGAAGCCGAAGAGTGTGAGAAATAGAAAAAAAAGTAAATAAAAAATCTGCTGAGCTTTCGCTTAGAGCACACGAAATTGTATTTTCTTGTGTTTCCCCCGTTGATATTTTCTTTGCCCTTTATATCAGGTCACCCAGTTCTGGTCACTGCCATGGGGGTGGGTGTACGGAGGAATGTGTGCACCAGCGGGTAAGAATAAAGTAGTGTAGATTAGTATGTACTAGAAAATAAACTAAAGGGAGGCGGGGGAGCAGAAGACGACACGTGGAAAGCATGCATGATGTGATATAACGGTTCCCCCATGGTGGGGGTGTATGGTGATAGAGTGCCACGTGTCTTGATTGGTGAAAGCATGGATCCCCGCCGCCCAGACACACCTGTTCACTTTTCAAGCAACTGCCAAATTAGGAAAATTTTCTTCCTCTTATTTATTTATTGGATTTTATTTAAATGTCTTAATATTATATAGGGTAAAATACATGTTTAGCATCTCCACTATTACTTTTGTTTCATTTTAATCATCAATTTTTTTAATTTATACTTAACGTTACGTTTTGTTTTATTTTAGTCAAAATATTAACATAATTACTAATGTGACATTTTTATTGTTTTAATAATGACATGTTATCATAACTGTTAATTCTTTAATGACATATGACCATAATAAAATCAAACTTAGACGCTTTGTATGATTTTAAAAAAGAATAGTTAGATGATCAAGACAGAATAAAAGTGATAGTTAAAATACTAAATATGTAATTTGAACTTTATAATATTTATTTTATTTTAAATAATTTAAATTTTATATTCTGATATGAATTAACATTATAAATTTAATTTTTGGAGAGATTGTACCACAGTTTGAACTTTTGAGTTTTGACTTCGTTATTTGGTCTTTGATTTTTTAAGAAAATTTTAAAATTTGAGATTTTGAGAAATTAAAAAATTCAATTTACAATAACAACAAAACCCAATTCCCATATGCAATTGGGTAAGGGGGAGGTAGGGTAGTAGGCTGCCCCCAACGCCAGGTTGAGAGTAGCTTCCGTGGAAGACCTCCGGCAATCAGAAAATTAAAAATATAGATAAAATGCAAAACATGTATAAATAAATACATAAATACATAGTTGAATAGTATTCATATGCAGTCATAAATATCATTAATATTATATGCGCGTTTGAAATGGGAAGTAATCCCTGCAAAAAATCCCTGCGAAAAAATCTCTGCATATAGACAGAAACGTAAGACCCGACTAAATTTAAAAGTGAAGAGAATATTACACAGAAGTCCACGATAGCCAGCCCAGTTCTAAGCCTTCATAAATACCAATAACAGAAACGTATAAAAAGTAGAATTCATGGAAATTACTATAAAGGCATTAAAAGAAGACAGAGATGATACACCCTAGAGATGTGACCCACACTACTCGACTACCCTAGTCTTTAGTCTCCATACTTTCCTATCAGATGTCATGTCCTCGGTAAGGGCTAAATCCATCAAATCAGATCTCAAGCAGTCTTCCCACTTCCGCCTTGGTCGTCCTCTCCTTCTGGCACCGTCGATTGTAATCGACTCTACCCTCCTGACCGCATCCGACGGTAGTCGCCTAAGGACATGCCCAAACCACCGTAGTCTTCACTCCCTCAATTTTTCAGAAACAGGCACCACCCCCAAGGATATCCTAATAGTAGAGTTTGTTGTCATATCCCACAGAGTCCTACCGCATGTCCATCGAAGCATTCTCATTTTTGCAGCCTCTATCCTCCTTACATGATCATTCTTGGTTGCCCAACATTCTGATCCATACAACAATGCTGGTCTTATTGCCATTCTATAAAATATTCCCTTAAGTTTTAGAGGCACCTTCTTGTCACACAAAACTCCAGTAGCAACCCTCCACTTTAGCCATCCCGCCTTTATACGGTGTGTTACATCATCATCTACACCCCCATCTTTATGTATCATAGACCCTAGGTACTTGAAACAATCATTTGAGGGGAGAACGTGTCCTTCTATGCATACTTCTACATCTTCATCGTTTTGGTCCCCACTGAAGTTTGAACATAAATACTCTGTCTTTTCAATATTGATCCTTAGACCTTTTTCTTCCAAAGCAGTCTTCCAGGCAGTCAGTCTATTATTCAACTCAGATTTTGTTTCAGCAACTAGGACAATGTCGTCAGCGAAAAGCATACACCATGGTACACCGTCTGGTGTCGCACAATAGATGTCGTCCATAATCAAGGCGAAGATGTAAGGACTAAGAGCCGACCCCTGGTGGAGTCCGATTTCCACCGGGAATGCCTCGGTGTCGCCAACTGTAGTCCTAACGTGTGTAGTAGATCTACAATACATATCACGAATCGCCCGGATATAAGCAGTTGGGATCCGTCTCGTTTCCAAAGTCTTCCAAATCGTATCTCGGGGAACGCTATCATAAGCCTTCTCAAGATCAATGAACGCCATGTGAAGATCTCTAGACTTTTCCCTATATTTCTCCATGAGTCGTCGAAGTAGATGAATCGCCTCTGTGGTAGACCTGCCTGGCATAAATCCAAATTGGTTTTCCGAAACCCTAGTAACTTGTCTCAACCTAGCCTCTATCACCCTTTCCCATAGCTTCATGGTATGACTGAGTAGTTTAATACCTCTGTAGTTACCACAATGTTGGGGATCTCCTTTATTCTTATAGATTGGTATCACCGTGGACTCTCTCCACTCATCTGGCATCTTGGCAGTCTCTAAAATAATATTAAAGATGTTGGTCAACCACTTAACTCCCTCTTCTCCTAGGGCCAACCACACAGTGATAGGAATTTGATCAGGACCGACAGCTTTGTCCCTTCCCATCTTTCTAAGAGCCATTTTGACTTCCTCAAACCCAATCTTACTTGTAGGGCAGTCATTGGCCGTAGTATGATGGTCGGCTGACCAATCAACGGTACTATCTCTACAGGGAGAGGCACCCTCATTAAATAAGCCAAAGAAGTAACTACCCCAAACCCTCTTAATATCATGATCTTTCGCTAGAAGGACACCATTGTTGTCCTTAATAAACCTAATGTTACCTAGATCCTTTTTCCTATTCTCCCTAGATTTTGCAAGCCTGAAGATGCCGTTTTGTCCTTCCTTGGTGTCTAATCTCTTGTACATTTCTTCGTATGCCTTATCCTTTTCTTTAGCCACCGTTTTCTTGGCTTCCCGCTTTGCCTCCTTGTATCTTTGTTTAGCTCTCGACCTTTCTTCGTCGTCATTGCATTGTAGAAACTCCTTGAAGCAAGTTTGCTTTGTCTTCACCTTAGTTTGGACTTCGTCGTTCCACCACCATGATTCTTTTTAGAAATTTAATGTAATTTTTTTATTTTTAAGAAAATAATATCAATATGATTTAATATTACATGTCGAGCAGTTATTAGTTTACAGATTCTTTTAACAATCGTTAATATGAAGATCCTGAAATTACAATAAAATAAAACTTTAGACATTTTAATTATAATAGAATAAACATAAGACACATACTTTAATAAAAAAAAATTCTTCAAACACTTAAGTAAAAATGAATTAGAGTTTAAATGATTGTTTTTTAATTAAATTAAATAATTAAAATATTTTAAAATTAAGTAAAAAATATATATTCTAATATTTTTATTAATTAGGTGCTAATACTAATCCCAAACCTCATTAGGTGCAAATACTCAATTTCTCTCAAATTTTTTGCTTACTTAAATTTCCTTTTTTTTCTTCAGAAGTACGTTAAAGATTACTTAAATATACTTTCAGTCATTAAACTTTCAAAAGCTATATGATTATCATTAAAGTTACAGAATTATTATAAAACAATAACTATAATACTATAATAATCCTAAAAATTAAATAATTATTTTAGAAATTTTGAAAATTTAATAACTAAACAATTATTTAAATATAATTTAGTAACCTTTAACTTACTTTACGCAAAAATATATAAATTAAGGATATTTTTATGGGTTAATTTTCATCCTTAAACTATGACTATGTTATGATTTAGGATAGAATGATAGAAGAATTTGTTAGGGATTTAAGAAAATAGAGAGAATAGGTTACAGAAGTGTGCATTTTCATTTCATAAGATAAATCCTCAAAGATTCTGGGTACAATTATATATATACAGTACCTCCAGCTGGCAATTCAGCAATCTAACAAAATAACCGTCTAAAATGATGACTCACCCTTCCATCCCTCTCACCTTTGACTTAGATCCAGACCTGCCCAACCCTTTAACTCATAAGCCTACTGATATATTAATTGGGTCTAAGTAATAAAGCCTAGTTACCCTATTAACCCATACCCAATCCCGTGTGACTCATCTCCTGTCCTTATTTCTGTCTTTCTCTCTTCAGATAAAACTTCAATCCCTAATCCCCTTCGATCCCTAATTCATTTCTCTCCTCTCCCCCTTTCTGCTGTTGATTCCCCAACTTCCTTCTTCGATTTTCCCCCAAATTAAGACCTTCAAACCCTAACTCCCCTTCCATCGTGACAATACCCCCTCCATCAAACGATCCTTGTCCACAAGGATCGAAATCGGGAAACTGGTTCTGCAACACTGAAGCATCTTCCCACGTTGCATCATTTGGTCCCATGTTCTTCCACTGAATCAACATGTAACATCCGCAATACCGGGTTAGTGACCAAATTGTAAAGTTTCAGAATTTGGTGATTAAAGTAGAATAATTATATAGTTTAAAAGTATGGTTAGTAAATATGAGATGGAGGTAGGGACCAAATGGTCATTTGTAAGGAAATTTTAATTAAAAAATTTTTAAGGGGATATATGAGAATCACGTGTGATTTTAGGTTCCAGAACCTCCCATTTCTTCTTCATTCTTCCTTACTTTCTTCTCTTCCTCCTCCAAACGTGGGCTTGCAATTATAGGTAAGAAACTGAACTTGGTAGTTTCTTTGATTGTTAAGATTGGAAATGAAAGCTTGAATGTTATATAAGCTAAAGGAAA